TGAGCCGGTGAGATTAGAACCACTGAACTGCAGATAACAGTCAGCTGTAGTGGCCTCCAGTACTGCACCCTAACCACTGCTCTACCTCGGCTCTTGCAAGTAGAAAATTGCAAAATGCAAGTAGAAAAATAGGAACCACCTTTGATGGGAAGGGAACAGCGTTCCGTGCGCCTTCGGTGTTGAGTCACGCCGGCCATATGACCACGGAGACATCTTCGGAGAGCGCTGGCTCTCCAGCTCTGAAATGGAGATGAGCACTGCCCCCTAGAGTCGGGAACGACAAGCACATATGTGCGAGGGGAACCTCTTTACCTTTACCTTACAATTTCACGGAGGTTCCCTCCCATAAGGGAGGTCTATAAAAAGGGTACTTGAAGATTGCCATGGATCCCCGCCCTTTTTAACAAATCTTTTATTTATTAATTAATTTTTTTTTTTTAGAAATCCGCAAGGAGAAATGTGCTCTGGCATCTCCTTGCCGGAGTGTGGGAGCCGTTCCACCTGCCTCTCTCCTCCTCCCAGCCTTGATGATAAGGAAGAGCTGGTCTCCCAGCACTTGAAATGTAGCAGCCGATAGCACAGCCTTGACCCTTTGGGCATCTGGCTTAACGATGGACTAGTTAGCCTTTTCCTGGTATGGATTGGTGGGGCTGTGATGACTTTAATTAGCATCCAGAAGGTCGTAAGGGTCTCCAGCATCCTATCTATAAAAACAAATCAGTCCCTTAATGAGCAAAACCTGCCAACTGCAGAGAGTGTGAGTGGTTGTGTGAGCTGCAAAGAGAGGCCCAGCTGGGTTGGAGCACCAACACAAAAGGAGAAGAATTTGTGAATGGAGGGGAGATTTGTAACCATTCCTCTTTCTCTCTTTTTTTTTTAATGGAAGAAACATAACAGAGGTCTCCGAAGCAGGCGTGGTGGGTTTCAGCCTCCATGGCGCATGAAATATTTTGCGCCTGTATGCACGCTTTACTCGCTCACATCCCAGACACCCGTTAGCATTTGCACGTAAAACGATCTGCGCATGTACACAACGTTAGAAAAGGAATAAAAATTACATTTATTTCAATGAAGATTGAATTGAATTGAATTGAATTTATTATATTTCTATGCCGCCCTTTTCCCCGAAGGGGACTCCCTGAAGATTGTCCTGCGCATGTGCGGGACAGAAAATCAAGAAGGCGCCACCGAGGATACATCCGGTACGGTCATGTGTCTGCTGGANTCCCCATGAAACCCAATCTTTATTCTGGGGAACTGATAGTGTATGGCAGGCTTGTCAAACTCCCAGTCCATGGCCCAGTTGTGTCACGCACTGGCCATGCCCATGCCCAGTTTAGCAAAGGGTGGGGGAGTCCTGATACATCACATCATGCAGCCATGATGACGTGAGTTTGACACCTCTGGTGTATGGAGATTTAAATTATACAAACACAAATCCACTCTCTTTCCACGAGATGCAAAGAAAGGTACATACTAATGGAAGTGGCATGTTCTTGGTTTTTCATAAACCACAAGGGTAGAATCAGAAGGTATATCTCACTACTGTGTCCTTAAAGTGCCACTTTTCTTGATATTATTGTTTTCAGCAGGACTCTGACACTTAAACTCCAAAAGCTTTCTCTACATAAGCGTTGACTTTTTGCTTAAGGTGTGTGTGTCTGTGTGTGTGTGTGTGTAAGGGTGCAGCCGTCAGAGTTCTTATTCATCAACAGATAAGCACTTACAATTCCTCATGTTGATTTCAGCAAAACAAAATCGAAACCTATATTTAGACCTGGACTTAGTTCACAATAACCCAAGGCATGAAAAAGAACATCACACTGGGTTATACATGGGTATCAGAATCAAACATACTCTTGAATTAAAGGAATGGTCGGTCCTATTTGGGGGCAAGAATGTCCATTCGTTTCAATGCATCTTTGAAGACTTCCTGCATTTTCTCATTCCTTAGAGTATATATGAATGGATTCAGCAAAGGAGTCCCCACGGTGTGAAGCAGGGCCACACCTCTGTAGAAGCCAGAAGAATGGATCTTCTCTGGCAGAAGGTACATGAAAATGGAACATCCATAAAAGGTCACGGCCAAAGTGATGTGAGCACCGCAGGTTGAAAAGGCTTTTTGTCGGCCAGCTGAAGATGGGATGTGTAGGATGGTGGCGATGATATATATGTAAGACAGTGAGGTTAGCAAAAGTGAAGACAAGACAACAAGAGCAATCGATGCATAGCTCAACCATTCCAGGGTGGTTGGGTCCTTACAGGCCAGCCTCAGCACAGAAATGATGTCACAGAAGAAGTGGTTAATAACATTGGGACCACAGAACGGGATCAGATAAAGGAAGATTGAAGAAGAAAGCACTAAGAAGAAAGCCCCTGTCCAAGACCCAGCAACAAGCTGGAAGGTGAACCAACCACTCATGATGACAGAATATCTCAAGGGGTTACAGATGGCCACGTAGCGGTCAAAGGCCATGATTGCCACCAGAATGTAATCTGCAGTTCCCAAGAAAAAATAGAAAAACCTCTGCACCATGCAACCCATAAAGGAGATAACTTTTCGCTCCGTGATTATGTTGAACATCATTTGGGGAATGATAACAGTGGTGAAGCAAAGTCCTGAGAAGGAAAGGTTGCCCAGAAGCCAATACATGGGGGTGTGGAGTCGATAGTCTTTCCACACAAAGAAGATAATCAGAACATTCCCGCTTAATATTAATATGTAGATCACTCCTATGATCAGGAACACAGGAACCTTAAATTTCTGGATGCCAGGAAAACCCAGTAAAATGAATTCTTTCACCATGGTGTAATTTTCAGACCTCCCACTTTCTTTTATCATTTGTAGTCTGCTGGAATAACTTTAAAAAAGTTAAATTCATTGGGCGTCGATTTGTTCAAAATCAAAGAATAACAAGGTCATCATTTTTAAGGTCAGGGAATTTGTCTTCCCCCTGCATTCAGTTACATCATGAGTCAAAACATTGAAAAAAATTACATTTCCTCATTCCATGACATATTGGAGCAAAAGTACTACACAATGGCAAGCAGAGGAGCTCATGTTAATGATGCATTATTTAAGATTTTCAATAAAAGAATACCCATGTTGTTATTATTTCAGGAATCAATATGTAACAGAATAACAGAACAACAGAGTTGTG